GGTGCCCCTTCCCAGATTCTTAAGATAGAAGCTGAAAGCAGGAGTCAGCAAATAACAATCTGGGGACCAAATGTAGCCAGCCACTTTTTTTGAATGGCATATGAACTGAGAATGGTTTTTGCATTCTTTTAATGGTTAAAAAAGTCAAAAGAAGAATACTATTTTGTGACATGTGGACCTTAAGTGAAACTCAGTTATCAGTGTCCGTAAATAAAGGTTTATTGGAACACAGCCACACTCATTTGTTTATATATTATTTATGGCTACTTTTGTGAGTTTGAGTAGTTAGGACAGAGATTTTGTGACATTCTCAATGTTTTGCACTGCTGCTTGGTGCACTATAATCACTTTTGTAAGTAACTTGCATATCACTATACTGTGACATTTTACTTTATCATCAGCACATACCCATCATGTTGAAGCAAGAAAAGATGAGAAAAATCGACTTGACATATTATACTTCTAAAGTACCTTAGATAATGGATTATCAAATTAGATGACAGAGCACTGATTATTATGCAGTGATACCATAGCTGTGCTAAAGAAATACAGTATACACTGATATTACCAGACTAATCACTCATCACAGTATTCCCAACTCACAGGAAAATAATCGTCAGAAGAATTAGAACATTTAAAAAGGAATATCTTATCATAGCAGAATTTCTTCACAAAATTAACAATGAAAATCAGACTGCACCGAGGTTAAGTTTCTGTCTCATTTGTTAGCCAAGTAAGGAAGTTGTTTACTGATGGTGCCTTAACTAAATCGTGTTTGATTGTAGTAGCCAAAGAAATGTGTCTGTAGAAAATAAACTTGTTTAAAGCTATTAGCCTTTTGGCGAGAACAGTTGCTGGAAGAGTTGAGAACATTAATAATCAATTAAAAAACAAAGCAAATGATTTTGGGTGGTTTTCCTTGGCTTTTGTGGGTTGACAGAGGTTACCAGTACAGTTCAATTGTTGTTATTCAAGAAGTCAATTCTAAGTTTGAAGTTTTTGAAGAATTAGTTTGAAAAACTGTTCATGGAATAACTACAAACAAAAATATTTACAAAAAGTTCAGAAAACACTAATTGTGTATGACCGGAGGTGGAATCTGCTAAGATGTATTACAACTGATGGTGACAAAAATACATGTAGAGCAGAAAAAAGCTTAGATGAACAAATTTACAAAACTGAAATTGTAAAGTGGTTAAAAATCTATAGTTTTTTATTTTATGTATCAGCAGGTATTTTGCAGAGAATATTTGAATATACCACGCAATATAGAACTAGTAGCGTCTCAAGACTCAAGAATGTTGCTCTTGTGTATTTAGTCTTTGTCAGCTCCATGAATTTTTGTCAGAAATAGATGCTGAATATCCTAACTTGCCCTACCACACTGCAGTTCAGTGGCTTAGTAGTGGTAAAGTTATAATTTAGTTTTTTGAGCTTAGGGCTGAATTGAGGTTTTTCTGAACGAGAGGAACTGCTCTCAACCACTGTTATTGAACACTGAATGGCTTTGGAAATCAGTTTTTGCTGCAGACTTGATAATGTTTCTTAATGTACTCAACCTAAAATTACAAGCAAAACAGTGGTTATATGCAAAACTAAAAGTTATTTTGATGCCAACTAGTGTTGTTTAAATCACGAGTAATATTAAGCTGTTTTATGTAGCTTTCCATGCCTTCAGAAGTGAAGGTAAAGAAGTGATGTCACTCGATTTGCAGTAAATACAGTTTTTGAGCTCCATTTCAGCATCCTTCTGAGACTTTGATGCAAATGCAAAGGAAATTACCATATTACAAAATCCATTTAACTTGCACCTTAACCTTTAATTGGAAGTGATTAATCTGCAACGTAAGGACATGCTGAAAGACAAATATTAAGAGAAGAATAAAGTCTGTAGATATCTTCCAAACAATGAACATGCTGAATTGAAATCTTATGTATGTGACGGCACCTCTCTGGGTAAAAAGACATTTTCAAACATGAAATACATAAAATCTTATTAAAAAGCAGCATTACCATATGAATGCAATTGATTTTTTAAAAAAGATTTTATTTATGAGATAGAGCGAGAGCACACGAATGGGGCGATGGTCAGAGGGAGAGGGAGAAGCAGACTTCCCACTTGAGCAGGGAGCCCTGGGATCATGACCTGAGCCGAAGGCAGATGCTTAATTGACTGAGCCACCCAGGCACCCCTGCAATTGATTTTGATGATAGGGAACACAAATTTTGAATCTCAACTAAGTGAAATATTCTCCCCCCACCGCCCCAAAGAGCTTCATTCTTACCAGGAGATGGGTTTTACAAAAAGTTGTACTCAACAGTTACTACTATAATGTTTTGAATTTTATCAATAAAAATTAGGGAAATTTTTGTCTCATTATTTAAGTATTTATATAATATCCTCAGTTTTGCCTGTTGGCCCTTAAAGCCTAAAATATTTACTGTCTGACCCTTCCTAGAAACAGTTTGCTGGGGTGCCTGCGTGGCTCAGTCACTTAAGCATCTGCCTTCGGATCAGGATGATCCCGGGGTGCTGGGATCAAGTCCTGCATCAGGCTCCCCAAGCCTGCTTCTCCCTCTCCCTCTGCCTGCTGCTCCCCCAGCTTGTGCTCTCTCTCTCTCTCTCTGTCACATAAAATCTTAAAAAAAAAAAAAAGAGTTTGCTGACTCCTGCTTTACATCAAGACATTTTTATCCTGCATATTAATTCTCCTAATATTAATTCTCCTAATATGCAGGATAAAAATGTCTACCTGCACATATTAGGAGAATTAATGCTTTTGTGTCACAGTGACTTTAAAAGAAAATAATATATGAAACAGCTTTGTTTCTCCTGGATTTATTAATTACAGCTCATTTACTGTAATAAGAATTTATTGCTTGGTGTTACTGTTCTGATTTGAACAAGAGGTTTTCCGTGGTTTCCATGTGGGTGAATCTACTGAACACTGAAGTTTCTAACTGTGCAAAAGTAGTGTACTCTTTGCTGTGGTGTGATTCTCAAAAAAAATAGATGCTGCCTTCAAGGAACTTATGCTGGGCGAGGGGACAGATAATATGTCAAAACACATAAAGGAAACAGCTTTATTTTCAAGAATGTACTGGAGTTCTTGAAATGCCTAGAACTAGATGTGCTTAATTTTGAGGAAGAGTTTTTGAACCCCTTAAGAATAGAGAAGAGGTAGAGAGAAAGGACCAAGCAACACCAAAATTTGATTCCCTCAGAAAGGCATGGAGAAATATTTTTTTAATTTAAATTCAATTCAGTTAATTAACATAGTGTATAGTTTCAGAGGTAGAGTTCAGTAATTCATCAGTTGTATATAACACCCAGTGCTCATTACATCATGTGCCTCTTATGGTTTGTCTTCCTTTCTGATTTCATCTTGTTTTATTTTTCCCTCTCTTCCTCTATGCTCTGTTTTGTTTCTTAAATTCCACATATGAGTGAACTCATATAAGAGTCAATAAGACAATTGATTGACTTACATTGCTTAGCATAATACCCTCTAATTCCATCCACATCATTGCAAATGGCAAGATTTCAATTTTTTTTTGATGGCTGAGTAATATTCCATTGTGTATATATACCACATCATCTTTATCCATTCATCTGTCGATGGACTCTGGGCCCCTTCCATAGTTTGGCTATTGTGGACATTGCTGCTATAAACATTGGGGTGCAGGTGCCCCTTCGGATCACTACATTTGTATCTTTGGGGTATATATCTAGTAGTGCAATTGCTGGGTCATAGGGTAGCTCTATTTTCAACTTTTTGAGGAACCTCCATACTGTTTTTCAGAGTGGCTGCACCAGCTAGCATTCCCACGAACAATGTGAGAGGGTTCCCCTGTCTTTGCATCCTTGCTAACATTTGTTGTTTCCTGACTTGTTAATTTTAGCCATTCTGACTGGTGTGAGGTGGTATCTCATTGTGGTTTTGATTTGTATTTCCCTGATGCTGGGTGATGTTGAGCATTTTTTCATGAGTCTGTTGGCCATTTGTATGTCTTCTTTGGAGAAGTGTCTGTTCATGTCTTCTGCCCATTTCTTGACTGGATTAGGCATGGAGAAATATTTTGATTTTCTCTACTGAGTGGATTCATTGGTTTATTCTGGGAAATAGAGTAGGGCAATTTGGACTCTTCCTGGATGTTATTCTACTGTATCTCTGAACTTCCTACTCTTTGTAGTCTTGGATGGAAAATATCTTTGCATAGAAGCCTTGGATGATTCTTGGATGAGTTTGGGAAGCCAGGAAGAAAAACCAGAATTACTGGGTTGGACAGATTTGGTGGAAACCAGAGGTTCAGAAGATAACTCTTCCTAGCATCTGTAGAAGGGAAAAGATCAATGATAGTTATTTGCACAGACAGAAAACTATAGAATGACAAAATAATAGAAGATTACAAGTTGAGGAGCAAAAAGGGCTCAGGTAGTTTAATTCACGGGGTTTTGCTTAGATTTAAGTTGTATGGGACAATTAAATATGTATAAATGATGCACGGACAACTATAGGCTGTTTCTTTAAAGTGTATTCCTTAAGTACGACTTCTGGTGTTGGGGGCCAGAATGTTTTAAAACTAATTTCTGCAGTTTTTTCAGTGGAAAAATATGTGATATTCATATACTTATTTCTACATTGTCAAGAATAAATTGAATACAATCAAGTTCATCTTTATTGTTATTACAGCTTATGGTAATTATAAATGAGCAAGGAAATTAGTGTCCAATTTATGTACCTTTAACATAAGCCATAGTTCAGACCTGTGTAATTTCTCTCTGTGTTATCTCTTTAGGTGTCCTTTTATGATGTCCTTTGTACTTCCAAAATTAGAAACTTTGTTCAGTATTATAAGATGCATTCAGATAACCTCAAAGAAAAAGAGAACCATTTTGACTTTGAAAGTAGTTTTAAGCAGATATTTTAGAGAAAAGAAAAAATGTTCTAAAGTTGGTGCCGAAAACTTAATAAGAAGACATTATGTATTCTGTGTAGGTCTCTGAAGGAAGATGAATTTGGCTGAGATTTGTGACAATGCAAAGAAAGGAAGAGAATATGCACTTCTTGGAAACTATGACTCATCAATGGTATATTACCAGGGGGTGATACAGCAGATTCAGAGACATTGCCAGTCAGTCAGAGACCCGGCTGTCAAAGGCAAATGGCAACAGGTAAGACAGATTCAAGTATTCAGTGAGTGAGGGCAGTAGTTTATTATACTTGAGAGATCAGAGTTAGAAAATTAGTTGGAGGTTTTGTAAATAGTTCTTATTTGTCCAAATACTGAAATATATTTAAAATGTACTCTGAATAATTTTGTCTTGTCCAGTTAATATTTTATGTATTTTTCATAGCTTTCATGAGACATATTTTGAAGATATTTAATTCCAATTGAATCTACTTTGAATTTTTTAAATTTTCATGATCAGTCACCTAGTTGTGTGTGATCACAAATTTTTGATATAAGGTATTTCTACTTGCCCTTTCCCCTTTCATTTTTACGTGTAGTTTTGACCATTTCATAAAACTTTTCCTTTAAGAAAGTTTCCTCTTCTTTTGAAAGATTCCCTACAAATACAAAGGAGTCAATAATCTAATAAAACTAATATATTTGCTGTGTCTCTTGACTGTACAACTTGATTATATAATAGTACAGTTAATAAAAACTTGAATTAGAATTTCCCCACTTACTCTTAAAACTTAAAATCCTTTTAAGATTAAAAGTACAAAGTCAAGCATTTCTTTGAAGTTTCCATTTAATGTACTAATGCCTTTCAAGTGTTTCTTTTAATTTTTCCATGTCAGAAATTGATGTTTCACTAAGTTTTCAGGGTAGATTTGGCTTATTTTCCAACTTAAGCATTACAAAATTATGTTGAGTGAGAACAATATCCTTGCTTTAACCCAAGTTGAAGTTTTAGTTGTGTTTTTTCTGTCCTGCATACTAGCCATAGGCGAGAGTGGTTTATTAGCTTGGAAATATTTTTGACAATTTAATTGTGTTAAATAGTGACCATTTCTATTCAGATATTTCTACTATGATTATTTCCATTAGGTTCTGTAATTTCATTTCTCCAAGTATATAATTGCATATATTAGCAGTTAAATTTTACCTAGATTTTTCTTTTCTCTGCTTTATAGTAAAGGATGCTTTCTGGTAAAAACAAATTAGAATTGTTAAAATGAATTTATAAATGTAATTTTCAATCTATTATCTGTTTGCCTTTGAAAATTAGTTTGGTCTCAAAGTTTGAAAACACAAGGATTTCCACATAGTAGGTATTCAGTGAAGTTTCTTAAATATGGGAAAAATCTTGCCTTTGAACTCATAATGAACTTTATCCAACACTTGAAAGAATTTAAACAAGTCCAGAAGAATTCAGATTTTAGATGAAGGAGAATTTAAATAAAAATTGGAAATGGGTAATGCTTAGTATTCTAGCACTTCAGATTTTCAGATGCTCATGACAGGCATTTCATACTTAGTGATACTAGGAGTAGGAAATGCTGATGAAAATTTTGGCTGATAATTTTCTGAAAGCTATTTACAAATATATTAAAAGGATTTAGCATAACATTTTAGATTTCTGGGAATGGTTAACTTGTTCCTGACTTAGTTCCTTGTTTCAAATTATATTAATGGTCATCCCATTCATTAGTAGAAATAAGAGTTTCATTTGGAAAAATATATAACTACTTCCCTTACAACAAAGTATGTAATGTATTTTTTCAATCCAGTTCCTGCCCTCCTATCTATATTACTTTAAATAGTTCTTTGTTTTTTTAATATGTTTTAATGATTCATTTTGCATACTTGGAGTGACATTGAGAAAACGTGCGTTCTTTTTTTTTTCTTTTAAAGACTTATTCTAGAGAGAGAGAGAACACAAGTGGGAGGGGCAGAGGGAGAGAGAATCTCAAGCCGACTCCCCACTGAACACAGAGCCTGACATGGGGCTCAGGCTCATGACCCTGAGATCAGGACCTGAGTGGAACCAGGAGTGGGACACTCAACCAATGGCACCACCCAGGTGCCCCGAGAAAACTTGCGTTCTATAGCAATTTATTACTTGCCATTCATATAAACTTTAAACAGTTTCCAGCATAAGGTTATTTTCTTTTAAGGTTCGGCAGGAATTATTGGAAGAATATGAACAAGTTAAAAGTATTGTCAGCACTTTGGAAAGTTTTAAAATTGACAAGCCCCCAGATTTCCCTGTGTCTTGTCAAGATGAACCATTTAGAGATCCTGCTGTTTGGCCGCCCCCTGTACCTGCAGAACACAGGTAAATGGGATTTTATATTCTCTTCAGGTACTTTTATAGTTAATTTTGATACTCAGAGTGAAGAGAATGAAGCTTTATTTAAATGAAGAATGAAAAAATATTTTGTGGGGTGTGCAAATTTAATACTTGTTTACAATTGTCACACCGATAGGTTTACAGAGTTCATTTTTGATACAGAATAGAAGTAAATCATTTGTCGTGTATCTTTTAGAATGTTTTACTACTATAAATCATAACAGTAGAAATCTGCTAGTCCTAAAATTTATCAGTTATGTGAGGTCTTTTAGATTTTCTATCAGCATCAAAACTTGGATGGCTTTTTTTGCTTTAAAACTTTTTGCTTTAAAAGATTCTAACAACTTTAGATGAAATGGTGGACAAATTGGATTCATCTGGTCGGGCCTACAGCCAGTTTCCAGAGTCATAGTGTAGAATGAACCTTATTACTCCTTAAAAGTTAAAGGTTAGATTGCCTAGTGTGGCCTATCAGGCTCTAAGTTTCTCTCCCTGATGTGCAGCCTATGCATCATCTACATTAAACCTGTCTCTTGCTCTTCTTTCCTTTCTGTTTTTGCTCAGTCTGTTCTTTCTTCAGGGGATTCCCATGATCCCCATCTGAGCAACTCATATTCATTGTTCCAGTCTCAGCTCAACTGTGTTTTTTCTCTCTGCAGCCTTTCTCAGTTTGCTCAAACACAACAGTTTGTTCATAGCAGTTACTATGTTGCATTTCTTTGTCTCTTCACAAAATTAGAAGCTTTGCTAGGGCAAGGGCCATGTTTTTATTTGCTCAAAACAAATAACAAATAAACTTTTATTGCTAACACAGTGTTTGGCACATAGTAGGCATTCAACCAACATTGAATGAATAATTCCATTAATTTCACAGTGAGAAAACTGAGGCCTGAGAGACCCTGACCTGTAAGTTAGTCTAGGTCAGGATCCGAGTTTAGGGCTTTCTGGCTTTCAGTCTCCTTGATTGTGAAGTGGTATTGTGGCCAGAGTGTTGCATCATAGAAAATAAATTTCCCTTTGGTCAGTAGCTATGATCATGTGTTTAACTTGTTGATCTCTTGAAGTTTTCTAAAAGCATTTAAAGAACTGTGAAAAGTGGTTAATTTATTCCTTCAGGGTTTTTTCCACTGAGTTACAGATAATTTTATGATTCCCATTATAAAAACACTACGTGATGATTCCTTTCTAAGGTCTACAACAGCACAGCCCTTGTCACAGATGTAACCACTTTCAGGTGTTTTACATTAAGGTTACCATTATCTTCTCGAAATGCAACGTTTCAGGAGTCATAGGGTTGTTACCATGGAAGTTCCAAAGTAAATACCGAGAAAAAGAACTAATGGCATTTTGATTTATCAGAACTTGAAAATTTTGTGTATATATGTGTGATAAAATACCTTAGTTTTTTTTCTGAAAGTCATTAATTCAGAAGTATATTTCTAGTTTACAGCTTAAAGCTGACAATAACTTTATTTAGATACAGTTGACATATAACATTATGTAAGTTAAGGTGTATATTTGTATTGATTGAATATATATATATGTATGTATGGCAATTTGATTACCATGGTAGCATTAGCTAACACCTCCATCATGTCATGTAATTATCATTTTTTTTTTTTTTCTGGTGGGAACAGTTAAGATCTAGTCTCCTAGCCCTTTGAAAGTTATAATATAGTCTTGTTATATATTATCTCTATGCTGTATATTAGATTTCCAGGACTTACTTATCTACTAATTGCAACTTTGTACCCTTAAACATCTTCCCAATTCTCCTGAGCCCCTGGTACTTAATTCTCTGTTGTTACAATTTTGATTTTTTTAGATTCTACATATAAGAGAGATCCTATAGTATTTGTCATTCTCTGACTTATCTCACTTAGCATAATGCCCTCAAGGTCCATCCATGTTTTTGAAGATGGCAGCATTTCTTTCTTTTCCATGACTGAATAATATTCCATTACATATACATATATATGTATCTTCATTCATCTGTTGATAGACACTGTATGTTATGTTTCACCTCTTTATTTATCTGTTGATAGACATTTACATTGTTTTCATATTTTGGCTATTGTGCATAATGTGCAGTGAGCATGGGAGTGCATGTATCTCTTCCATATCATGTTTTCATTTCCTTTGGATATAAACCCAGCAGTGGAATTGATGGATCATTTGATAGTTCTATTTTAATTTTTTTTTTAAGATCATTTATTTATTTATTTGACAGAGAGGGGGAGTGGGAGAAGGAGAGGGAGAAGCAGGCTTCCTGCTGAGCAGGGAGCCTGATGCGGGGCTTGATCCCAGGATCCTGGAATCATGACCTGAGCCAAAGGCAGATGCTTAATGACTGAGCCACCCAAGCACCCCTATTTTTAATTTTTTGATGAACCTCCATACTGTTTTCCATAGTGGCTGAACCAATTTACATTCCCACTAACAGTGAACAAGTGTTCTCTTTTTTCCACATTCTTGCCAACACTTTCCTCTTGTCTTCTTGATTATAGCCATTCCAACAGGTGTGAGATGATGTCTCATAGTGGTTTTGATTTGAGTTTTCTTGATAATTAATAATGTTGTACCTGTGGGCCATTTCGGATGTCTCCTTTGGAAAAATATCTGTTTGGTTCCTCTGCCCATTTTTTAATTGGATTTTGTTGTTGTTGTTGTTGAGTTGTAGGCGTTCTTTATATATTTTAGATATTAACCCCCTTATCCGATACATGTTTTGCAAATATTTTTTCCCATTCAGAAGGTTGCCTTTTCATTTTTTGATTGTTTCTTTTGCTGTGCAGAAGCTTTTTATTTTGATGTAGACTCACTTGATTTTTGCTTTTGTTGCTTGTGCTTTTGATGTCATATCCATAATGTCATTGCCAAGACCAATGTCAAGGAGTTTCTTTCCATGTTTTTCTTCTAGGAGTTTTATGATATCAAGTCTTACGTTTAAGTCTTTTAAATTCAGTTCAAGTTCATTTTTGTGACTGGTGTAAGATAGGGGTCCAATTTTATTTTTCTGCTTATAGTTATCCAATTTTCTCAACACTTTGTTGAAGAGACTATTCTTTCCCCATCGAGTATTCTTGGCTCTCTTGTCAAATATTAGTTGACCATAAATACAAGGGTTTATTTCTGCATTCTCTGTTCTGTTCCATTGGTTTCCATGTGTGTATTTATGTTAGTACTATATTGTTTTAATTACTAAAGCTTTGTAGTATAGTTTGAAATCAGGAAGTGTGATGCCTCTGGCTTTGTTCTTATGATTGTTTTGGCTATTTGGGGTCTTCTGGGGTTCCATACAAATTTTAGAGGTTTTTTTTTTTTTTTTTCTATTTCTGTGAAGAATGCCATTGGAATTTTGATAGGGATTGTTGTGTTGAATGTGTAGATGGCTTTGGGTAGTATAGACATTTTATCAATATTAATCTTCCAATCCATGAACATGGGATATCTTTCCATTTGTTTGTGTATTCTTCAATTTCTCTCTTTAAAGTTTTGTAGTTTTCAATGTACAGATCTTTCACTTCTTTGGTTAATGGTATTCCTAAGTATTTTATTGTTTTTGGTGCTATTGTGAATGGGATTGTTGTCTTTCTTTTCAGATGTTTCCTTGTTAGTGTATAGAAACACAACTGCCTTCTGTATGTTGATTTTATATCCTGCAACTTTACTGAATTTGTTTTAGTTTTAAGAGAATTTTGGTTGAGTCTCTAGGGCTTTTTCTATATCATCTGCAAATAATGACAACTTTTGCTTCTTAATTTCTGATTTGGATGCCTTTTATTTTTTTGTCTTGCCTAATTTTGCTAACTAGGACTTCCAGCAGTATGTTGAGTAGGAATGATGAGAGTGTGCAGCCTTGTCTTATTCCTGATACTAGAGCAGAAGCTTTCCATTTTCACTTTTAAGTATGATGTTAGTTGTGAGCTTAATTGTTTGTGGCCTTTATTATGTTGAGGTATGGTCCTTGTGGAGGTTTTTTTTTTTTTTTAATCACAAAAGTCTGTTGTATTTTGTCAAATCCTTTTTTTTTTGCATCTATTGAGACGTTCATATGATTTTTATTTTTTATTGTTAATGTGTTGATTTCTGTATGTTGAACCACCCTGATGTCCCAGGGATAAATCCCATTTGGTCTTGGTGTATAATCCTTTTAATGTATTGTTGAATTCATATTCAATGGGAATATTTTGCTAATACTTTATTAAGAACTTTTGTATTCCTGGGGCACCTGGGTGGCTCAGTGAGGCTCCCTGCTCAGCAGGGAGTCTGCTTCTCCGTCTCTCTCTCTGCCTGTCATGCCCCTCCTCCCCCACTCATCTGCTCTCTCTCTCAAATAAACAAGTAAAATCTTAAAAAAAAAAGAATTTTTGTATTCCTTAGGGATATCAGTCTATAGTTTTCTTATAGTATTCTTATTTAGCTTTGATATCAAGGTAATGCTGGCCTTGTAAAATGAGTTTAGAAGTGTCCTCTCTTTTTGATTTTTTTGAAAGAGTTGGGAAGGATTTGTGTTAACTCTTCTTTAAATGTTTGGTAGAATTTGCCAGTGAAGTCATTTAGTCCTGGGAATAATTTACAATATAGGAAATAATTGCTAGAGTACCATGATGTATTTCAAAAAGCAGTGGCCACAGATACTAATTCTAATATTTGTGGCTCAAACTGAATAAAAAAGTGTGGCTGGCATTTGCCCATTGATGAACACTTACCTGAAAACTTCTCCTTATTAGAGAAACGTTATGCCATTATTTCCTTTTATTTGTCCTCCCTTAGCTGCTCATAACACAGATCTTATTTATTTTTATGCTTGTGTTTTAATCCTGACTCTTAATGAAGGCGACAGATGAATGGACCAGAATGTATTTCTATGAACCTCCTTTCTCCATACTAAATTAAAAGAAATTTTCCCTGTATGTAAACATTGTATGTAGTATTTTTTTTCTATACTATATACAATGGATATAGTATCCACTGTATGGATC